TGTAACAGACATACTAACATTACTATTACATTAATGCTACATATTTTACCTCAGTTTCACAGTGTCTCTTTTAGAGGCCTGTAAAAAGAGTCCTGACTAAGAGCTACAGCTCTTTTCCATTTATAACAGCTAATTAAAGCACACTGGTCAGGCCTCCACTCACAGACATATCTAGAACTTCCAGAAGGCCTAGAGTAATGTTTTTCTCACTCATTGGTCCCACTCATTGGACATCAAAACATGATCTGTTGATTTCACTGATGCTAATTAGGGTAGCAGTTAGTTTGACACATTAAGCCTTCAGCTCCCAGAAGAGTAGAGGCTGTTACTGCAGAAACGGAGGAATAAACTCCCTATTAGTAGCCGTGATAACAGAGGAAACACTGGAGGAGCAGGTATCTACAGACTTCAGACATACAGTGCAGCTCTGATGCAAATGAGAACACATATTTATATTTAATATTTAAACTCAGTGCTAAGTGTGTGGTTCTTAACTGGAGAAGAGACATGTTAAAAAGTAATAATGAGTTACTCTGATAATGACAATGTGTATATAAACATAGAACCTGGACATGCAGGACAATAATAACACAATAATCTTGCTCTCTCTCTCTATCTTTTATAGATACATGCATATCTATATCTATATCTATATATATCTATATATCTATATTATATATATATGTATATCTATATATATATATATCTATATTGCTGCAGTCAGAACAAAACCTTATATCTCCATATTTGTCATTTTCTGGCATAATTTGAAAATGCCTGTTGCCCTTTACATTATGTCTAAATTTCATGATGAATGGACCAAAAGAAACGGCCCAAAATTACTTGGAAAAAAGTCTGGTTCCATTGACTCACGTTAAAAGTAAAGTAGGCTTTTTCCTTCTCCTGTATTCTCCATTTTGGAGATACAAGGTTTTGTTCCGACAATAGTGACATGTATGTAAGTATTTATATACCTCTCTCTATTTCTTTCTCTCTCTCTCTTTCTCTCTCTGTGTCTCTCTATTTCTACTTCTATGTATCTCTGTCTCTCTCTCTCTCTCTCTCTCCCTCTCTCTCTCTCTCTCTCTCTCTCTCTCTCTCTCTTTCTTACCCACGTTGGTGGTTTCTTTGGAGGACTCTGCCACCTGGTGAACGGCATCTTGCGCTGCTTGCACTGAAATCACATTAGGAAAGGTGCTGGTCTGCGTGACCCCAACACACATGCAGTCATCATCATCACCATAGCAAGCCTGAGATATTAGCCTATTTTGCATGGATATATTAAAACAATACAAAATAAAAACGAATATGCTGAAAAAACGGTTCATGATTCAAATGTTGTCTGAATTAGCCAGCATGTGCATATGCATAATAAACATTGACTGTAAGTAATAGTTTTCTATCACTGGTTCTGAGATGTTGATATGAAAACAGATTAAAAACAGATGCTCTATTATTACATGAGAACTCTTACCTACAGTAACTATTTTTAAGCAACATTCCTGACATTCTCCACTGACGATACAGAGTAATTCATAGTAGTTACGGAATAATTTATATTAGATACTGAATGACCTATAGCAGTTTTTTATAGTAATTTATAGTAGTTACTGAAATATTTGTTGTATTTACTGAATAATGTATAGTGGCTAATGAATCATGTGTAGTCTTTTTTTGTGATTTGTTGTAGTTACAGAATAATTTACTGTAGTTCCTGAATAATTAATTGTAGTTACTGATTAATTAAAAAATAGTTACTGAATAATTTACAGTGTATGCTGAATAATTTATAGTAGTTAGTGAATATTTTTATTGTAGGTATCAAATAACTCATAGTTACTGAATAATTCATATAAGCTACTGAATGATCTATAGTAGATACTGAATGATTTAAAGCAAATATTGAATAATTCATAGTAATTACTGAATAATGTACCTGCAGTGTCAGCGACGCCTTTGGTGGCTGACTGCGTGGTGCTCTTCAGCCCTTCTAGAGATTTCTTAAAGGTGGCCATGTTACTTTGTGGTGGCGCTCAGGGACCCACACGGCCTGTATGAGGGGGCAGGAGTGCGGTGCGGTGGGCAGGGTTGCCCCTTTAATACGCTGGCCTGAAGCAGGGTGATCACACCCTCACATTCCCCACCGATTACACACGCTGAGCCGTCAATGAGAGCAGGCTTACGCTGCTGTGTTGCCCATGACAGAGAGACATTTGCTTCACTCAGCAGCTCTTTACAGCTTCAGCCAGACATCCTGTTTATGAGACAGGGGGGTGGGGGGTGAAGAGAGGAGGAACAGAGGTAGATAAACAAGTGAAGAGAGGAGAAACTCAACTGTTGCACTAGGCACTCTGTTCATGTACATAATAGACTCTACAGCAGTGTTTCTCAACCCTGGCCCTGGAGGCCCACTGTCCTGCACATTTTAATGCTTTTCCTGCTGTAACGCAGCCACTTTAACTCAATAATGGGCTAATGAGCCGATTAGTTGGATCAGGCACTTTGGCAGCAGGGAAAACACTAAAAAAAAATGTGGGACAGTGGGCCTCTAGAGGGTCCACACCAGGCCTGCCTAAACGTTTTGTATTGGGGATCCAGTTTATGGTGTTTGTGGCTGGACTAAACATTACACATTGAACATTGTTAGTAAAATATGGTGAATATTGCTGAAGTGGGACACCTTCAGTAATATAACATTCTTTGTCACTTTACCCATAATTCTGATATGATGTAATCTAAAATTATAATATACACTCACTGAGCACTTAAGTAGGGATGCCTCCTTTTATCTACACGCATTGTCCATTTTATCAGCTCCACTTACTATATAGGTGCACTTTGTAGTTCTACTATTACAGGCTGTAGTCCGTCTGTTCCTCTGCATACTTTGTTAGCCCCCTTTTAGCCTGTTCTTCAGTGGTCAGGACCCCCATGGACCCTCACAGAGCAGGTATTAGTATTTGGGTGGTGGATCATTCTCAGCACTGACGTGGTGGTGGTGTGTTAGTGTGTGTTGTGCTGGTACAAGTGGATCAGACACAGCAGTGTTTTTAAACACTGTGTCCACTCACTGACCACCGTATTAGACACTCCTACATTGTTAGTCCACCTTGGTGTAAAGTCAGAGATGAAAGCTCATCTGTCGTTGAGTGTATGTAAAGCCCCCAGATGTTTCTCTGAGCGCGGCAAACGTCGTGCTGAATGTTGTTTTACGTCCACTCAGGGTTTAATCAATGACTGTCAGACACTGTGGGAATTTAGCAAATATTACAGGCTGTTCACACCATCAGTTTTAGCTGAGAAGCTGTGGAGCCTCTCGGCTTGCAGGCCAAGACTGAAGCAGCTGGCTGAGAGAGGAGCGCCATCGGCAGTGCACACAGAAAGCCGACTAGTCTCCATGCCAGGCTAAGGGCTAATGGCCAACCCCAAGAGACTGGCTTTTCCTTCCACTCACCGTCCCCCCCCTTAACTCATTACAGGCTGATGTCGCTCCTCTGACAATTAACTGGACTAACTTACCTCAGGCTGCAGCTCACTACATGAGAGGTGAGGGAATCAGCGTGTTTTGCACTGCTTGTATGCCATATTTTCTACATTTATTTGCAGACTGGTCATGACAAAGTTAATACCTTCAGAAGAATTTTAGTCAGGATACTGAATAAACCGGTATATCACCCACTACTACTCTAAACCATTTATCAAGGGTCATTTGTTGTCCAGATATTTAGTTGGTGGTCCATTCTCAGCTCAGCAGTGACACTGATAACACACATTAGTATTAATGCTTATAAAGTTAAATGGGAAATGCCACCCTTTTTCCTTCAAATCATAGAGAATTCATAGAGAATCTTCAGAACTGTTTAACTGTTTCAACTGATGGAGAGTTTAATGCCTCTAAATACTCACTCACAATATTATTACACAACATGCTTACAAATAAGCTGCCTGATATCAGAGATATTGTTTTAATCTTAGAGATCTTTCTTTGGCTCAAAGCATATTTTTTAAAACCTATTCACAGTGTAGGGATACATGCAAAGCACTGTATGACATAAAAGTCAAAAAATGTTTTTTTTCCAGATTTCTCCCTATTTTACCATCATCAGCATTACGTAAACAATTCAGAAGACACTGGTCATTATAAAAACAAACAAAATGGCTATATTTACATCAGCAGCCCCTGGTTCCTATCACCACCACTGTAAAAAATTCCCCTGCAACAACTGCCGCACATCTTCAACCACATATATTCAAATTTACATATCTCACTGTCATTTATAATGTACATGCACATTCCTCTCAGTGGCTATGTGTACATTGTAACTGTACATACCAGTCACAGTACATGCATTTTCTTTATTTATAGAATGGTAATGTGTGTATATTTTATACAGTATGAAAATATTTGTTCTCTCAGTGGGTGAAGAGGTGAAGTCAGGGTCCATATGCCTAAATATTGAGCCTTACTGTTGTGTTTTGTGAGCAGAATCAAGACAATATAGTCGTATGTCGAAGTTCGAACACCTCAGGTCAAATTATATGTATTGTTGACTTTTTCAGTGGAAATAAGTTAAAAATCCTCTATAAAGAACACACTTAAATACAGCATTTGTATGTAAATTTTAACACACCACTTCTTTTATTTGCCAAGTTTAACATACTGGAAAAAATACATAAAATATGAAACGTACTATAACATTTGCACAGGCAAATTAATTTACACCCAGTCTGTTAAATTCAGCAAATAAACAGTAACTGTCCATTACAGTGTGCAGAAGTGTGTTCAGTGTTGAGGACGTGTTACTTATTTACACTTAGAAAATCAACAAAACATGTCATTTGGCCAGGGGTGCTCACACTTTTGCATACTTTTGCACATCTTAATACAGCAAATACAGATTCTGAATCTGATGAAGTATTGTTAGACCATATTAACCTGGAGCTGAAGAAGTTTTTGGCGTCCAAACTCTAGAAAAGGAATCGCGGGACCATGCTAAACATGTTTTTTTGTTGTTTTTATTTCTTTATTTACAGAGGATTTGCTTGTCTTGCGTGACACAGAAACCTGTATATTGACATTTCCAGCATTGTAAAGCACTAATCTGATACCCATAAACATCTCAAGACACATTTACACTGACTTTTAAAATCTTCAGTACACAAACGCACGCACACAAACACGCAAACGGATACAAACTGCCCATTTCTAACAGAGAGTTCACTGGAATGATATCACAAGCAACTATAAAGTTACAATGTATAAAACTCTTACTTGAAAAACATTAAATAAACAACTTTGCTTCAATAATAAATGAAAAATAAAGGAAGTAAATAAAGTCCCACGAACAGGCATCGTACACAGCTCTATATAATATCATCGTTCTCCTCGTGTTTATTAGAATTTTTTTTTTGTTGTTGTTTTTGTTCACCCCCAATATGACATTGGAAGATCAGAAACATCTATTACACAAATAGAAACACATGTACACAGGCACAAAGAGCCACGGAGGGGGAACGAGTCTCGTTTCATTGGGAGGGAATCAAGGAAACGAGACGGAGCTGCCCCCTGCAGTCAATAAAGAGAACTACACCCACCACATTACAGCCAGAACAGGACATTTACAATAGATCATATTAAAAGTATATTTATATTTATATATATATCTGATAGGAAGAACTTTTTTTCGGCAGGAATAACTGCATTTTTTTTTCGTTTTTTTGCTGTTTTTTGCAACAGGGGTTATTGTGATGAGTTCAGCGTCTGTCCTTATTATTGTTAGAAACATTATTGTGCTGCTGGTTGGACATTGTTTTGGAATGGATACTTTACGCTTCGGGCTCGTAATCTTGGGTCTGCTCCTAGAGGAAGAGAAAAAGAGGGAGAGTAAAGAATTACTTTGGTTGAAATACAAAAACGAGAACCAAGTCATTTATTTATGCCTTGGCTCTAAAAGTTTAAACAGCCAAGAAACCATTCAAATACATGGCCAAAAGTATGTGGACACCTGACCATCACACCGACATGTTCTTTTTGGAATTTCATTCCAAAACCATGAGCATTAATTTAGAGATGCTTCTCTTTCGTGTCTATGATAGTCTCCACTTTTCTGTGCAGGCCTAAGATTTTGGGGTGTGTCTGTGGGAATTTGTGCCCATTCAGTCAACAGAGCATTTGTGAGGTCAGACACTGATGTTGGATGAGAGGGCCTAGATCACAAATCATCCCAAATGTGTTCAGAGGGGTTGAGGTCAGGGCTCTGTGCAGACCACTGGAGTTCCTCCACACCAAATTTAAACCATGTTTTTATGGGCCTCGCTTTGTGCACAGGGGCTCAGTCATGCAATAGAAAAGGGTCTTTCCCAAACTCTTGCCACAAAGCTGGATGCATATAATTATGATGTAGCATTAACATCACCCTTCACTAAGGGGCCCAAACCCTGAAAAACAGCACCAGAACCGGACGTTCTCCCACCAAACCTTACTGTTAGCACTATAGGTTTCGGTAGATAGCATTCTCCTGGCATCCACCAACCCCTGATTCATCCATCAGACGGGCTGTGATTCATCACCGCATAGAACACTTTAAAGTCCAGTGGTTTTTTTGCACCACTCCAGCCAACACTTGGCATTGTGCATAGTGATCTCAGGCTTGTGTGCAGCTGCTCGGCCACGGAGACTCAAAGTGTGAGTTTGTGTGGTCTATTGCTTCATTGCTGAGCTGTTGTTGCTCCTAGATGCTTCAATTTCACAGTGATAGCACTTACAGTTGACAGGGGCAGATCAAGCAGAACCTAAATTTTACAAACCACTCTACTGCCAGTGTTTGTCTATGAGATTGCAGGGCTATGTGCTTGATTTTATACACCTGTTAGCAATTGGTGTGGCTGAAACACCTGAACTCAATAATTAGGAGGGGTGTCTGCATACTTCAGCCATGTGGTATACAGACTACTGTTCAGAAGTTTAGAATCAATAATTTAATAATAATTCACACAGTGTAGACTGCAGTGTAATAAACTACACACCAAAACATAAACTGATGGTTTACTCACAGTTTAAAGTGAACAACGAGTAGTTATCACATGGTAAAGCAAATAGTAAATGTTATTAAATAATAAACTGTAACTACATATTTATAGTAATTTTGGTAACACTATACTTGAACCCTGTTACATAACATTGACATAAGCATACTATATATGTGTCATGGCAGGTGTTATTTGCTGTCATGAGGTGTTATGACATAGGCAAAAATTTGAACACCTGTGGTCAAATGACATGTTCTTTAATTTTCTAAGGAAACAAGTTAACACATCCTCTTAGGAGAACAAACTTAAATACTTAAATAATATTTTTCTGCAAATTTTAGTGCATAATAAAAAAAAAGGGGAACAGAAAAGCTATGGCCCTTAAGGGCTTCCATAACTCTCTTGGGTTTTTTATATTTTTTTGAACAAAGCACTACCGTTTTTTTGTTTTTTTTGTTTGTTTTTTAATCTATTCCAACACATCAAACCTAATAAAACACAGTCCACTGTTACTTGGAAGAATGGATTTAATTACTTTTGTTATGTGTTGTATTATTATCTTGATGTCTGGTTACTTCATGAGCTAAAGAGCAAAAAGCCTACAGTTAGGCTTAATCTATTTCTATATAAACCAACTTGACATCATCAATTCAGTAGATTGTTTAGCCCCAGTGTTGCAAGTTCAAATACTATTAAAATGAACTTTTCCATTAAAATTTGGCCTGACGAATTTAACATGTTAATAACATGTTGATAAGGTTTTAACAATGTGCTAAATTGTTATTTTTCCTAATTTGATGCTTCATCCAATGTAGTGCAGGCTGAAATCCAGCTGCAGTGCGCTGTATTGTATCTTTTAAATAGATTTTAAAGTGATACCTTCACCACCTTCAGCAGAACACACTGCGGGAGACCTATGGATAAATCAATGAGCAGAGCAGTGCAGCTAGCCTGGCAAAACCAGTTTCAGAGGCTTAAACTGATCCAATCCTACAGCTATCACATTAAAGGTGTTGTGTCTGTGTCCTGCACTTTAAATCGTTTTCTCTGCTCCAATACTTCTGATTTAACCAAGTCTTTCTTATTAAGAGGTCGTTACTGCCCTAAAATGCCATTTAACCCCTTATTACATACTAAGGCTGATCATTCAGTAACTACAGGAACTTTAATGCAAACCAGATTTACTATTCTTAGGTTATGGAAGTGTGTAATAAAAGTTTAGGCCTGCCAGTGGGCCATGGACATTTAAGGGGTTAAAGGGGAATTCCACTAATTTTGAACATTTCTGCTTACTTCAATCACTGAAACATAAACAAGGTCATTCAGAGTGGTTTGGTGTGAAATGATTCATTGTAGAGAAACTTACAGACTCTAAATTCTTTACAGTGGTGCTGATAGGAACCAGACGTCACAATGTCTACAACACTAACACTATAGACATTTTATTTACTACCCAAACCACCAGTAAACCTACATGAGTCTTCTGAGTTTTTGTATTTAATGATGATGATGGTAAAATGGTGGAAAATCTAAAAAAATACATTTTCTTTGCGGCTATTTTGCTGTACAACACCCAACGTGCACCTGTCAGTCATGAATATATATAAAAAATAAGCTTTAGGCCAAATTTTTTTCTCAAAACTATCTCGAAACAAGGTCTCAGGCTGAGTATTCATAACCATTCTGTGTAATAACTTTCAGTGAGGGAGCTTTTAGAGACATTGAACACTTCAGACGTCTGGTTCCTATCACCACCACTGTGAACAATCCTGACTCTGTATGTTGCTCTAGAACAGAGCATTTAACACCAAACCACGACTCTGAACGACTTTATTTACACTGTAAGTATTTAATTATGCAGAAATAAGAAATGGTGTGTTTATTTAATGAATGAAACTGAAATACGCAAATATCCAGCAGGGGGCAGCCAACGCGCAGAGATACAGCCTGAGCACCATTTCTGCGCTCTCATGGTGACATTAAGGAACAGAGGAGGAGAAGACAGTGTCACGTGACTGTAGCCTCCATGACAGTGGTCACATGGTCATGAGATACAGGGAGAATCCATTTCTTCACTCAGGGAGGAGGGGCATGGTGGGTTGGGGTCTGCAATTACCCACAGTGCATCATGGCTTGTGACGTCACTGCCACACCCGTGTAGCCAGACTCGACGTGACAGTGAGGTAGTGATGAAGAGAGAGAATGAGATGAGTGGGCAGGGGGCAAGGACAGAGAGAGAGAGAGAGAGAGAGAGAGAGAGAGAGAGAGAGAGAGAGGGAGAGAGAGAGGAAGGGGAGAGAATACATTTCTTAGGGATATTATAGATATCCAGTTTTGATTTATGGCATATAATATAATGTATATGAACAGAAAAACAGAGACACCGGTTAAAATACTCATACTAATTGGCTATTTTATGAAATACATCTACCATATAGGTGCACTCTGTAGGCCTCTGATTACAGACTGTAGCCCATCTGCTCCTGCACAGTTTAGCAACCCCCATCTGCCCTGTACATCTATAGAAAGGTACACACCACAGGACCACCGCTGACCAGAAATTGTTTGGGTGGTGGACCATTCTCAGCACAGCAGATACCACAATGCTGCACTGGCTGACTCTATCAGTCACAGTGGCATTGCTAGCCTTTTTAAACACAATCTAAGGGCGACAAAAGATTCATTTATCGTACTTGTCAGTTAAGAAATATTTATTGCTCATCTCAGATATTTGCATTCTCTCAGATCACTGTCTCATGAGTACCAACTCGCCAATCAAATGCGTTAACCCGCCTTTTCATTCTATTCTATTCTATTCTATTCTATTCTATTCTGTTCATTCATTCAACTATAATTTACCATGGAAATACATTGAGGTACAAAACTAAATGTCATTATAGCTGAGTAAAAGACTAGTAAAAATAAGGCATGGACTGATACCACTTTGTCCCTTCCAATACCAACACCTGATCCTTAAGTATTGGCCAATACGGAGTACTGATAATAACTCTATCTTACCTAACTAACCTATAAGTCCTGATCAGACTACAATTACACTTCTTTAAATATTTTATTTTGGCAAAATCTATGTTCTGTGTCACAAATAAAGCATACTAAGCTTGAGTGAATGGCATTTATTTGTTGGATTAGATGCTTAAAAAACCTGTTATTTATTTATTTACTATTTATAATGAGCATTATTCTTATATTAGTAATAATTAGTAATAAGAATCTGATTTAACAGTAAGTTAATGTAAAATACATTACAAAACAAGTAAATTAAGCAAGTTGTGCAAAACTGTTAAAAAGAGAAGTGAACCATATACAGACAAATCTGAAGTGACCAGAAGACTCACACTTACATCTCTGAGCATCAGACTGTAGTTCAGTAGATATTATGGTCATCCACACTGTCAGTAGCAGTATCTTTCAGCAGATTTCTCGGCTTAGTTGAAGCAACAGATCATATCGCTGCGTGATATAGCTGACAAACTAAGTTGGCTAGCGGGCTGCTATGCAAAAGGCTAAACCAAGGCTAAAATCTGTTATTACCGCGAGTCCTGCGGTTCCTTCCATATATTTCTCTAACATTCACTCCCTCTATAACATCCTGGACTAACACTAATTTAGACTGTAACTGACTACACAGCGTGAGAGGAGTGATCACTCAAAGTGGCCTGCCGTTCATGTAAACAGCTACCGTGTTTTACACTGTGTGTATGCTGTGTTATCTGGCTTATGTTTGGAATACCGGTTAAACGAATACCATAGAAAGAATTCCGACTGGTAAATTATTCACTACTAATGCCTTCCCACGAAATGATGGCATTCCAGATTGTGCTATGAGCATTTTTACTGCTGCTTGTCAAACCACACCGGCAATGTGTTGTTAAGTTCTGTCTACTGCCGCGAATGGGTCGTGGTCCTGGTCACAGCTTTTGGTGTCCCTGTTGTTGATACTGAAGTGCTGGTACTGGCACTGATGCTGGTAAGGCAACAGTGCAACACTAGTAAAAACCATAAGAAGTTAGTAAGCTGTTTAGTGCATCTAATCGACCAAATCTTTCTTAATTTACAAAAAAAGGAACCTTTCGAATCTTTGTTTCAATTGTGAACTAAATCGATTTGTGGTCAGCTCTAAGATTCACAACCCTGGTACTGAGGCAAGAATCAAAGTCGCTGCATTACCTACAACCCTCTATGAGCGGTTAATGTTCACATTAAGAGCCTGTTTACAACCCTGCAAACTACAACATCGTCCATGTGGTGTTTGCTAAGCGCCCTGTAACTCTGACTAAAAGCACTGCTCAGTGCTACGAATCTCAGAGCATGTGGTGTTTGCTGTACCTGCTGATTCTCGTCGTATGCTTCTCCCTCTGGGTCCATCATTGCCTCCCCCATCTGCTCCTCAGTGGCCTCCTGACCAAACTCCTCAGGCTGTGGAGACACACACACACACGCAGATGCATCACTGGATAAATACCATTACAATAAATCAGGAGGAAAAACTAAACTTTCAATTTAGAACAGAATACAGCAGAATATGAAGTTGCAAAAAAGGTGGAATTTCACCTTAAAATTACTTATTTTTTACTGATATGAAGGGAAGACTGGATGGAATATAGAGGTCATGACACAACTCATTATGTGGAAGATCCGAGTGCAATTGTTATTGTGTTAGCCATGTGGGAGATGCTATATGTATTACCACTGCTTTAAAGTACTACAACAGTTAATAGGAATAGGTTTCTATTATTTTAATGTTTAAATAAAATGGGTACTGCTCAATTGATGTGTTTTCCTCCTTGCTGATCATCACATGTCTAGGAAATAATTGGGAATTGTAATAGTAAATAGGAGTTGTTGCTGTTCTGCACTGGGCCATGGGGTTATTTTTAAACTGTGCTAATCTTAGCCAATTAGGCCATGTTTCAGCAGCCTGTAATCCCTACATCCCAATACAGCACATCCAACCAACCGTACAACTCCATTATACACACCCTGTACCTCTCTAACACAATAGGATTGTTACAAGAGCTGCTCTGAACGTTCTGGGAGGCTTGTAACCGTGCAGCTCATGCTGTAACCTATACATCTGAAGGTGAGGACAACTTCACCTTCAGATGTACTTCTTTTGTAAGGCTTTAAGGCAGACACAAGAAGGCTATTCCTGCAGTTTTATCTATTATTATCCAATAATGACATCATATCTCAATGTTTTCTTATATTTATTTAATACGTAAAAAAAATGATCTAACAAAGCAAAAACTCTGCATATCTTCATTTTGTCTTACAAACTACCTTTTCACAAACATCGAACACATGAACTGAAATATGTCACAGTTGAGGTGCATTTTATCAATATTCTGAATAAACAAAACAATAATAAGCTTTTACTCACTGAATTGCACTCTGAATGAGCTCAGGCAGGAACATTCACAGTCTATCCAGCAATAAAAAAAGCCTTACGCATCTTATATACAGTCATAGAAACAGAGTGACTGAAACATTCTGGGTGCGGATAGATCGGGCCAGCCACTTGAGCAGTGCAACATCACAGCTGCCTGGAATGGCTACTTGAGCGACGCAACATTTCAGCTAGGTGGCTGCCTAGACTGGCCACCTAAGTAACGCAACATCACAGCTACGAGGCTGCCTGGACCGGCCACCTGAGTGATGCAATACAGCAGCCTGGACCGGCCACCTGAGTGATACAACACTGCAGCCTGGACCAGCCACCTGAGTGACGCGTCTCAGCTACAAGGCCGCCTGGACCGGCCACCTGAGTGATGCAACACAGCAGCCTGGACCAGCCACCTGAGTGATGCAACATCACACCTACGAGGCTGTCTAGATAGATAAGAAACTCTGCACTGTAGTCTGGCGAGTTTCCCTCTTGTAAGTGTGTTTGTGGGTTGTGGGTTGTTTTGTTTATTGTTTTGTTACGTATTTCCTGTAAAGCTGTAAAAAAAGCTGTAGTGCTTGAGAAAGGCATTACATAAATTACATTACATAATGAACACTGAAATATAAAAATAGCTAATGTGAGACAACCTATCATTGTTGAATAAGAGAAAATGAATATAATTATTCTTAGTTTGCTTGGGTCTGTTTGGAGCAGCCCAGCTTCTACCCCCACTGTTTGAACCCACCAGCTCATTTCAAAGTTTTTTACAATTCGATTACTGGTCCTAACAGTAGTTATACAGTAAACACCAACAGTTGTAGACATGATACATACTGGCGGCTGTAAACAAGGTACTGTAGAATTTACTTAGTACATAACAGTAAACCATGTCAGCGGTAAACACAATATTTTACTGGTAATAAAGTGCTGATAGTCATACCACTGCACTCTTATTAACATTATTACATACATAACGTAGTGCTGCACTGTTAATAAGGGCAGCTGTACATGCAGTGTTGTGAACTCAACACTGTATCATTAAGATGTAGAAACTTCATTCTTAATTATTTAACAAGCAAACACAGACAGCTGTAGACATGGCCCTGCACAGCTAACAGTGTCAGAGCACTGTACACTTAACAGTAAACAGGCTACTGCACAATCAAAGCAGCTGACAGTAAACAGTGCAGCAGTGCACGTGAAAGCTTCTTACGTTGGTTTCCTCTCTAAGAGATTTATGAGATTACTGAGTTGACAAAAGGATCTGACCACAGTATGGCCTACAGTGCCGTCTTAAGGAAAATCCCGAGCAAATCTGCTTATACCTTGCAGACTCTGGCCTTCCCTTCAATCAGTACATTAGTTTAACATCAGTTTAATGCACACACCTGCATCGTGTGATCGACAAAGCTGTTTTATTTAATGTGTTTGTGTGATATAATGTCAAATGTTCTAATGTTTCTAAAAAATAAAAATAAACAATCCTATACTGTAATACTACATCCATTCATATTTAAAGGAACAGATCAGCGAGATATGAAATTTACACAATTGTCCACCTGTTCCAGATGTAGTTGATTAGCCGAGACATCTTTGGGATCTAAATTTTGTTTTATCAGTTAAGAACTGGAGCTACGAGGCTAATGTTGCTAACAAACCCTAGAGTCAATAGTCACCCAAATCTTGTCCCTAAATACATCCCCAAAACCCCACAAATTCTTTCAAATTGCTTATACCGCATGCAAGTCTTCATTAAGACCTTTTAGACTTGTAAAATGGTAAATATATATATATATATATATATGTATATATATATATATATATATATATTAATAAATGTTTGAGATTAACAGTTATTAACAAAAAGAAGCAACAGAAATTATGAACGTAGTCTGTGGCGTTCTGCCCGATCTTAATCAACACCTGGATGTGGTTTGAGTGGATTTAGAGTTCTGGGGACGTGGGATGTGAGATGGGGATTCATGGCAAAGATCTGGGTGACTATAGACTTCTACTGATTGTTAGCAACATTAGCCTTGTAGTTCTGGTTCTAAACTAAAGAGAAGAAAATTTGGACACCAAAAATCTCTCAGCTGATCAGTTACACCTTGCTAAGAGAAAAATTGAGTACATCTGATTTTTCACCAAACTATTCCTTTAACTCCTTTAAATGCCAGCCTTATTAAAGCCTTAAGACTTATTAATCAGTAACTACATGAAGAACAGAGTGAGGAACAGAAGCCGGGATCTGCCGACAGCTCGTGGCCATTAAAGGGGTTAAAACTTAAGACCTTTTATTCATAAAATGTGATTCCAGACTAATAAAATACTTTTTAAGGACCTTTGGACACCCTGATAAACTGCTGTCTCACTCAGAGAAGACCTGAGTACATTGTAAATAAGCCTGTTTCCCCTCAGTGTGGTTCTAAACTGCTACCTGACCTTGAGCAAGGTCAAAATGAGAGAAAGACAGAGAGAGGGAGAGAGAGATGATATTCCCAGTGAGATTATGGGCCTCTCGCTCTGTCACCTGTGCACTGAGGCAGAGCTGCATAAACACGATTATCAGAAATGCTGTTTATTCTGCCCTTTCTGTCACATAATCACCATTAACGCACTTCACACTATTCAATCATCACTGTGGTGGCAGGACGCTGCAGTATCAAGGCCTCAGCTGCATCTGTAACCTGTCAGATTTCTCATATTATGGCACATTAACCCTATCTTACCAAAAATACCTTCTGTGACCCATTTAGACTCTTTCACTGCGTCCAAAACTGTGCCCAGTTCACTATACAGTGCACTATTTTGGGGTCCTACCATTTCATAGTGGTGTCCGAAAGCAGTGCATAAGATCCAGTGCACTCAAACAATCCCACAATGCAGCACAATAAGTAGTACACAATCAATCTACCCTAGCGGATATCTCTCAGTGCACCGTGTTGTTTGGTTAGTTTTCTGAGGAGGGTTACTGACCCCATCTACAACGGCAACATCTCCACAGAGGTCTCATTAGCCTCTGTACAGATGTAAGTAAGCCCTTCACACACGTGCAGTCAGACTCAGCTATAGTTATAGCTACATTTATGCTAAAGCTTCAAATTCTCTTCCCTATAATAGTGTTTTATTTGGTGATCCATGTTTTTGAATGTGATTAGGGGACCATTTCGGACAGGGCATATGTCTTTGTCCACTTTAACTCAATAAAAGCAAGTCCACGTTGGTCACATGTTGGATCAGCATGTGGAACTGGAGCTTTCTGTGTGCTACCATGTCTGAAATTATCACTGTATAAAAGAAGCTCCATGCAACTCACATCGATATGGAAATGCTTATTAGAGAATGTCACAGTAACAATAAAAGGTATACGTCTGTTTAAGGTAGTCAGTAACACAAACCCGGGCGAACTCTATGATGAGCACACTCTGCAACAAAGCCTGTGATTGGTTGGTGCACAAGAGGCTCATACACAACATCTAAAACAAAACTGCAGGGAGTTGTCAGCTCGTAAGCTTGTAAGCTCAAGAAGGTGGTTTTGGATTGCGAGCTTCTCTTTGCTGAAAGTTTACGCTGTTAGAAATAAAGGTTCTGTGCAGGTATATTTTTCGTTCATCAAGATACAAACAGTGTAAATGTTCCCTCAAAGGTACAACAGTGGTTTTAAGGTCTAATTGTGAAAGTACGAATTTGTACCTTTTCATAATTTGATGTTTAAAACAGAACAATAAAATAAATAGCCTGGAGACGAGGCGGGGTGTATGGAGTCAGTACAACTTATGGATTATGGTACAGTTGTGTTCTAAAGGTACTGAGATGTACCCTTGAGTGACAAGAGGGGAACTGCCCCAGTGACAGTTTCGTACCTTTATTCCTGAGAATGTACAGAGGCGTTTACTGATCATCATGTGTTAATACACCACACTGACAATATCTCACCTCTGATGTTAACATGCACTAATTAACCCCTTTTCCCAGCAGCCACAAAGTGCTATCGAAGGCTGTTTTGGAGGTCCCTCAGCTCAGCCTTGAATTTAACTCTTTTTACATTAGAATTTGTTAAAACATTTTAATTTAATTTTAATTCTATTTTGAACAAAACTATTTTATTTTATTCAGAAAAATATCCAAAAAGCAAATTTTTGTTCTGTCAGTAGATTGGCTGCTAAAAGGCCTGGAGCAAGGGGTTAAAGGAACAGTTCTAATACATAATTATCTGTAAAAAAAAGAAAGAAATCCAGTTTTAAAATGGCTGGTATTCCTGTTTTTAGCTAAGTGATGTACATTTGTCCATGTTTATACATAACAGTGTGTTATACAGTGTCAGAAACCACATCAGCAAGTCTATTTGTGATTAATTAACAACTCGACAAGGTTTGAGGTGAGTGTGTGATAATTAAGGTGTGTAGTGTGCGCAGTGCTAATTAGTGGGGTATAAGCTTCCATTATAAGCTTCCATTACTTATTAGCTACATTTGCCTCGTAGCTCCAGTACAAAACTAAAGAAGCCAACTTCAGACACCAAACACGTCTCCACTGACCGACTACATTAACGGTAAGGGGGTGAGTATGTATTTGATTTTTTGCCAAATCCTTCAATGCACTAAAGAACAGAAAAGGTAATAAAGAGTTGTAAACATACGTTCATGTCACTGGGGAACTCGTCTTTCTTCACGAGGCCGGTGGCTGCGGCGATGTTTCCGGCACCAGACAGCACGACCCCGCCGAGCTGAGACGCCTGCTCCTTCGTCTTCTCAGCCACTGTGAGAGAAAAAACAGCTTCAGCACATAAATAACTGAGTCTAGATGTAGAAGACTAGTGCTAATTCATTTGTACCAACAGAAGTCAGTCATCTTCAATAAGTGACCTTACAAGTCTAATGCACGGTATGTATTTGTAAGGAGTTTTAAGTGGTATAGAGTATTCTTGTGTTATATTTTGGATTTGGTGTTATTGTGGGGCTGATGGGTCTGTTGTGTGGCTGAGCTGTTTGGGAGCTACTCAACCTTGGCAACTCAACTTCACTTGACCATGGCAACTCTGTGCACCCTTGCCCAATAACATATTCTATGTATATATAGACAAGCATCTTGAATATTTTTAGGGTAATGCTGTATTTACATGCTGGATTTGAAAGAAATAGTGTGCCAAAATCAACATCCAGTTTATTCCACTGGGAAATCTAATTCTTCATGTTTCGCTGTTTTGTCATTGACAGAATTTTCTGTTGCTTCTCCATTGAAAAATGCAAAATATTCAGTTTATCTTTCTTCATCTACTGTCAGTAAACATGTTTTAATTTAGTAATTTGTAAACCTGAACTAACTAGATTGCATTTAAACTTACATACAGCTGGTGCAACCAGTGCCACGATCTGCATTTCTTTATACTTGTACAATGACAATAAATGTATTCTATTCTATTCTATTCTATTCTAATTCAGAGGAGACACTTTAGTCAGAGGCTATTAACTCTTCTCTTAAATGCCTGTTCGATCTCTTATGTTCATCTTTTACGAGCCATAATTGTAAGAATAGTGCATAATAGAATAAGAGACAAACAAACTCTATTCTAAAAGATGGGACAGTGCAGAAAGCAGAGTGTTGTACAGGAAAAAAAGAAGATATTGAACATTTTACAAAGCGAAAGCCACATATCAACAACATCCATATTTGGGCTAAAGCTCTTCTGAGATGGACTAATGATAAGTGGAAACGAGTCAACTTTTCAGATCATTTTTGGAAATTATGAACGTTGTGTTCTCTGGGCCAAAGAGCAAAAAGAACCATCCTGATTGTTACCAGCATAAAGTTCAAAAGCCAGCATGTCATGAAATAGAGGTGTGTTAGTGGGTTACTTGCATATCTGGGAAGGCACCAGTAATGCTGAGGGGTTCATATGCATTTTGTAGCAACATATGTTGCCATCTAGACAACGTCTTTTTCAGGGACATCCCTGCAACAACAACTGAACGTTGTTAAAAGGAAAGGTGACGTAACACAGTAGTAAACTTGCTCTTGTCCCAACTTTTTGGTAACATATTACAGGCATCCAATTAAGAATATGCATATATACAAAAACAGTAAAGTTAATTAATGAAAACATTAAATATCTGGTATTGCAGATTGCTGCTTTCTGTCTGTATTTGCATTGCACCTACTGTCCCAATGTTTTTGGAATTGGATTCGTATCATTTCCTTTTATTGAGCTGCCTACAGTTAAATGTTCCCAGCTCACTGGGAAGAGAGGTGAAAAACTCAATAAAGGTTAAATAAATATATAAAGCTATATTAGGCTTTGCTGAATAAGCACTGTGAGGGAACCGGCTCAGTCTCGGTGTGAGAGTAAGTGCAGCAGAGTATGTAATTTAATCCTACAGGGACAGCCCACCAAATTTACAGTTTTACACCTGTCGCTGTCTCCGTACTGCGGAGTGGCTGGAAGCCAAGGCATTCTAGCTGAACATTAAATAAAAGCCATTCATTATTTACAAGGTTGAGAGAACTGGCTCACCCGTCGCAACGCTGTCTTTGGTCTTGCTGCCTGCAAAAGGGAAAAAAGGAGACATAAGATGAGTTTTGTGTTTCTTTGAAATCATGTCTGTATCAACACCTTGTCATTAACTGTGAAAGAAAAGAGAGGAAACGTGCTGAATCAGCTTCGGCAGAGAGTCACGACTGTGTAGTACAGTGCAGCTCAGAGAGAGGTTATCAGAGCAGAGCACTATTCACTCCATCCCCTTCCAACATCACCAGTTTTCACTAATGAAGTCTCCTCCTTCACAAAGAAAGGAGGCTAATTAGTAAAAACAGGTGGTGTTGTGCAGGGCTGGAACAGTACAAGTCTAAAGTTTCAATTAATTGTCAAGCTGAAATAATATTTTTTAGCTTGTTAGTTCATGTGCCTGATCATATTTACATTTACTAATACTTTATTTGAATCTGCTACGTAAGACTGACATAACCATGTTGTGAACGTCATGGCAGATGTTATATGCTGTCCTTAATAATGTCACATACCAAGTGATGTGTGCTCTAGTTAGCCATCATTACATCAAACTACATGGCATCTGTTACGTTTATGGCAGACTTTCCATCCACTGCTCCATCCAAAACAGAAGCCAGAAATTAAAAAAATGCCTAAATGTGGTTTGGATGAGGTGGAAAAGTTGGTTTACTGATAAAGGAGAACAGCGAAATATGCTGATGGAAAAAATTTTTTGGATAGGTGTTTTTAAAGAAGATTTTTTCAAATAGAAAAAATTACGTCCTATCAGAACTGCTGGCAAGGGTTTGGTGGGTGATGGTGAGGTGGGAGAGCAGCCTTCATTAAATGGGCCACAACCAGCTTCACTCAGAGTCTCTGAACTGTTAGAGCGTCTATAGATGACAGAGGGCTGTCAACACTGCTCTACCCAGAGCTAATAAAAGATCAAATCTTTCCATTGTATTCGGCACATACGGTGAGCGAGGCTCTTGGGTGCGCTCACATATCCACCTGGCACATGTGCTGGTTGTGCCATGTGGCTGTGGTTTCCATCCCATGTATAAGCAGCATTTGTGAGTTCAGACCATGTCTTCAACATGGTGGTGGTAGTATGAGGGAAGACTGATTGAGGGAGGCGGGAGAACTCTGAGACCTTGGGCTGGAGGTCTGGGCAGCTTCTGCCTGTAGCAAGAAGGCCAGACCCCCTCATATCTGTAGTAGGACTGATTTAGGACTGAGGAACGGTGGTGGTCGGGATTGCGGACACTTCGTCATGGGAACAGAAGGTAAAGATGTGAATTTATAGGGTGTTAGATTGGAAGAAGGAGGGATTTCAGCCATATTCCTCCCCCCAAACTTCAGTTATAACATAACTACATTATGATCCAGCATATGCCGTTCTGCCGCCTGTAAGCTCCGCCTAAGCCAGAGAAGTTGCATCGATTTATAACAAACGCCACAAAGGAAATCATGGCAAAGAATGATAAAACTGAAATGCACTTTCTGAATCCACCATTCATGATACATCCTAAAGGGGCAGTTACAACAGCTTCTAGTGACAACAGCGACCTGACGCAGGTAAATCGAGACGTCATCTTCAGGAATTTGAGCATGAAGACTGATTATTTCGCATTTGCTTTCACCGACTTCGGAAATTTGCTTATATTTTGCAAAATGTTTTGAATGGAAATGTTCAGTTTACTTGAATGTTCAAGTAAAGTGTGAACACATTCATATTTATGCAGGCAGACCCGTAACAACAGTGGAACCCATTTTGGTGCTACACAGAATGATGAATCACACATAACAGAGAAGAACTGTTTGACCATGATCATTCATAAATAATCAGTTATGCATTCAAATGATTATTTTAGTGCTATTGGTTCTATATAGAACCACTGCCTTTACTAAAGAACTCTTGAAGAACCATTTTATTTAATGTATATATATACATTCTTGTCTTTTGGAAAAAAATCCCAGGTGGCTTCTCAAGAAGCTGCTGGAGAGAACGTGCAAAGCGGCATCTGGATTTTTTTAGAGCATTTCTATTGGTCCCCTCATCACAGTGGTACAAGTAGTAAAAAAATACCCTTCTATAAGTTGATGTGCTTAACGGTTGACTGGCACTGTGCCTGTAGAGACTGTGATTGCCTTCTGAGCAAAACCCATATGCCTTTTACAGCATCCCTGAACAAGCACCTACAACTGTCTCGCCATAAAACAGTGAGTACAAGCCTGGACTCTCACAAAACAGACAGAATGCTCTCTTTAGAAGAAACTCTCCCACAGCAGGACAGAGGAAGAACTATTGATCTTCAGAGGGCAGATGTCCCCTCTGGGGTTGTTCATCCATATAACCTTTAAGCCATTAAACCTAATGAAATTCTATGTACTGCCGTGTGGTCACAGACGCGGCCAGCAGGCCTGGACAGAACGATCCAGAAACACTCTACACCAAAAAAGACGGCTTTACATTCACACAAGCTGCTGTATGTTCACTGGAATTTATCAGAACTGTTCTATGTATGTTCTACCATAATATACACATTTGGTTATCTATCTACTGCCGCTACATATGCATATGCATGTTTTATTGATTTTAAGTGGAAATATGTTAGCACATGTTCTACATAGAACAGAGTTAAATATGACATTCTTCTGTAATTTATATGAAAAAATAGGAAAAAAATATGAAAAGTATATTTTATGAAAAATATAGCAAATAAACAGTAACCGTGTACTAAAATGTGCAGTAATGTGTTCTCTGTAAAGGGTGTGTTAACCTATTTTTACTTCCCAGAAAGCATATATCAATTTTAAACGTGTGTAGACTTTTATTTTGGAAAATAAACTAAGACAAATAGTACAAACAACTGAGAGGGAAAAAAATGAATGACTAGGCCTGATATAAAATTATTATTTTTTTAAATGTTGCTGACACTGTGCTGAATTAAAATTATTTACTGAAGTAATTTACAAAGATAATGAAAGAGATTAAGGAAAAGTAAGTAAATTGAGCTGTGAGTGCAAAATGAGCTTAAACACCAGTGGGCCACCTAGAAAACGCTTGTAAAATGCTGGGCCGCCAGCTTTGCCATCAGCAGGCCAACAGTGGCCCACTATCCTCTTGCTATCTGGGTTAAATCAACAAAAATTTGACCAGTGGTGCCCAAACCTTTGCATGTATACAGAGGCTACAACTGCGACGAATCCCACAGACACGTAATTGTGGTTGAAATTGATTCCGACTTTTCTCCCATTCACAGTTCTGTCTTCAGCACAGCTGATGTGATGACTAAGTGACAAAGAGAGAATGTGTATCAGCCTCTGAATGATCTCAGGACAAAGAGTGAAGAGAATGCCTCATACCGATAGGCTAATGGTGTCAGTGAAGAAGGAAAGCTAATAAGAAACTGAACTCATTTTATCTCATTTCTTCAGGCTAACTGGTAGCTCCCATTCATCATTAGCATGGTAGCTTATTGGGGTCTTATTCTTTCTGGAAAATGAGCCTCAGAAGCGATCTACGCAGAGGAAGGAGTCCCCTGAGCTAATGGTGTCAGTGAAGAAGTGAGAATGAAAGCTAGAAGGAATTCATTAGAAGCAACATCTCATTTTCTCAGTGCTCCCTGCTAGCATCTGTTCATTTATTGGTATGTTAGTGTTTTCAGCTGAAGTATTCTTTTAAAAGAGCGGGAAATACACCATGCAGAGGAAACCAGACAGAATATATCTGTCCCGCCGGTTTGATAAGTTAAGCTCCCCATGACTGTTTGCTACTGTTGGTCCACCCTCGGACCACCCAGGTTACTGTTCTGCACAGGTCTAACTGATCTCCACAAATATATATTAAATGCACTTAGGGTCTTTTATTTTGGAAAATAAACTACGACAAATTGATGACTAGGCCCAATATAAAAGTATTTTATTTAAAATGCTGTTGCTGACACTGTGCTAGATTGGTTACAGATATATATCCAGCTTTATTTATGACACTGCTGGTAAAACTAATTTTCGAAGGATAACGAAGGAAGGAAATGAAGGAAAAACAAGTAAATTGGTCTGAGAGTGGAAAATTAGTGATGAAAAAGTGGCTTAACCACCAGTAGTGGGAATTTGGAAATGTGCAAAAAAAAAACCTGAATGGAAAAAGCCCGAAATTTGAAAAAAACAACAAAATATTGCAAAAAGAGTTTTAGGCTAGGACGAGCTGGAGCAGTTAGAATAACACTAAAGTCAAAACGTGAAACAGAGTGACGGAAAAGGGTTTTCATCGAATAAAGAATGACGCATCAAGCCATAAGTCATATGATTCCATGATTCCTACAGAGGGTCCAATCGTGGCTCACCGCTTTTCGAAGGTTGCTTCCAACATTTTGAAATACCTGATCCAAAACTCGTTTGAAAAATGAAAAATGACAACTTAAATCACTCCATCTTGCTTGTTTCGATGCAGCCCCTAATCATGACAGCCTATGTCATGTCATCTGAAGTTTCTTCTCATAACTGTAGTGGATGGAAATTTGACATAATTTGCATTTTTTCTGCTGAAATGTCATAAATGCGCATATCATTTGTGAAACCTTTGAAATCCAGCCAGTGGGCTGCCTGGAAAACGCTGAGCAAAAAGCCAGTGGGCCGCCAGCTCTCCTGTCAGTGGGCCAACAGCGGCCTGCTATCCTCTTGCTATATGGGAAGGAATCTCCCTTGCAAATGGTGTCAGTGAAGAATGAATGCCTGAGTTAGCATGATCTCATTCAGTTTGCTCAATGCTAACTGATAGCTTCTGTTCATCTTTAGCATTTTAATCTATTTTAACCTAGATTTATAACACGAGGCAGGGATCGGATCCATCCAGGGGGCAATTGTTAGCACAGCACCATTTTATCTCATTTGCTGAGAGCTAACTGATAGCTTCCATTCATCCAGGGACTGGATCCATCCAGAGAGTAACCACTAGCATAGTCTCATTTGATCTCATTCACAGATAGCAGACAGTTCTGGGCCAATTCTGGCTTTCATACATGAGTTTTGGTTAAATGCCAGGCAGATAGATG